AATGGAGGTTAGCTTCGAACGTTAGGTCATGTGCTATAGCAGTAGTGTCTACGAGTATGTTACGGGCTTGTAGATCGGGATAAAAAAATTACAGATTGTATTTTGTTGTGACAACTATTAAAAAAGGGCCTATTGTTAAAATTCACACTTTCGGTGTCATATAGTAGATAATATGTTAGCATAACCAAATCATGTTATAATTTTGAGTATAAAAGTACCTTATTACCCTAAGTATAAAATGCTGCTCCCTCGCCTCGAGGTCTTTTTCAACTCTTGCAAATTAAGCCGGCCCATTGCGAGACCTGTCTATTATGACCCCCTTCGAATGTCTTATATCTGACAATGTACGAGGTCCTGGCCTGATTTCTCATCTTTACGCTTCCTTGATAGAATCACTACATGAGGGCTTACCTCCATACGCCTCTAATTAGGAACAAGAATTCTTGATGAAGACACATGGTCCCAGATTTGGATCACAACTGCTAATGTCTGAGCGGTAGAAGAGCTCCCTTATTCACATTTGGTGGGATTGTCCCGTGGTCCAACTCTTTTGGTCTAGAGTGTATCAGCTGCTTTACGCCGTAACAGGGAAATCATTCTGCAAAAATCTAGTTGAAGCACTACTTGCACACAGTCAGTTTCAGCTGGTTACCTATATTCTCACTGAAGCTAGGCGGGTGATTGCACAAGCATGGCGCTCCCCTACGGTTCCCTTTCCGGAAGCCAAGCTTAGAATCTCACAAGTCATGTCTGTGACGGACTGAACCGTCACTGGGGCTGCTGGAGGAGCCTGAGGGCTAGCCTCCTTCCTACTGACTATGGACCTAGAACTATGGAGACCCCCCTCAGACCTCTTGGGGTTACACAAAACTATTACCTTCGGTTTATGTGTGGAGTGAAAATACTGCATGTTTCCCCTGACATTACATTTAAGTGACCCTGTATTCATTATAGGCAGCAGGCTGTCTGGAGTTACCATTGTTTATGGTGATCAAGCTCTTAGCTAATTAAGGACATTCATTAGATTCAAAGAGTGTCTGTGCTTAAGGAATTCCAATGCGGCACCTGGCTGTCTAGAGGTGGGAACTGTTCAACACACTGAACTCTTATCTGATTCTGGGAGGTATAAACTCTGTGTGCTTTCTTCAATAAACTAGTTCTTGATTTCCACTTCAACATTGGTGTTGTCTGATGTTTGAGGGGCTTAGCTTTCTGTCCAATAATTAGGCAGGTTTGGGCTGAGGACACTAGAATTCGGGTTCTAGCAGAGAGGAAGCTGATTTCTGACAGAGGTACCCAGTCGGGGTACCAGGCGGTCCGTCACAATGTCCTTTGAAAAACTGTCGACTGTCCAGTCAGATACCCTCCCTAAATTTGAGAACATTTGGGGGCCGTGCATAATTTCCTATATGCCTCCCTCTTTTTATTTAGAATCCTTGGTCCTTTGAGGTCTTTGATCTGGCTATGTCCCATACATATCTCTTGCACGATGTCACTTGGTTATTTATCGGTCCAGTCCCTACTTCCTGCCCTCTGTTGCTCTTATACGCTCTTTTCCCCTTCTCTACTCCCTTTCTCTTTTCAATATTCGACTCAGAGTCTCCCCCCTCCGTTGTCGCTTATATAAGGGCCCTCTTTGATGACCGATTTACCTTTTTCTATATATTCCAACTATATTGGAATATCCCCGTTTAGCCTGATGGGGCTTATATGGTTGCACGCTTTGCTCTTGATTCTGTAACTTCTATTTGACCCTGCAACCCTATTGAATCTGTATTTCCAAGTTGTGTTACTATGTTATATGTGCGGTTTACTGTTTCAAAATCCATAAGAAACAATAAACATTGATTTAACGGAAAAAAAAAAATGCTGCTCCCAAGCAGTCTAACCTAGACTATGTGACTATGTAATATATGGAGGTCTTGCTGCACACCTTACCGGTATAGGATGTTCCTTGAAATCTTGGTGGGTGCTCGTAGTGACCACGGATGGCGCCGTGAAGATATACAAGTTTGCAAAAGGATGTCGCCAGCACACCATTGAAGTGAAATCAACAAACGTTCATTTATTAATGGAGTACTGTCATTCCAGTAGAAGCACTTTCGGGCCGCAAAGGGGCCCCTTCATCAGGCTCAGAATGGCCATTCTGAGTACTCGTCATTCTTTGCCTGGTGAAGGGGATCCTGTGCAGCCCTGGAATGACAGTACTCCATTAATAAATGGACGTTTGTTGATTTCACTTCAATGGTGTGCTGGTGACATCCTTTTGCCAACTAGCCTAGACTATGATCACATGGTCTTTGGCATTGCATTCAATTAGAGACACAGAGAGCATGTTATCCTTTCTAGGAGACTTCATAAGAATAAGGGGATGAGCAACAATTTATGGCTGCTTCCATGTCCATATAATTATTGCAAAAAACAGGGATACCTTGCATCAGGTAAATTGTTTTATGTTATGGGTATGCAACTATGCATGCTAAGTAATGTGTAACACATAAGCTGGCCATACACTGCTCTATTTTTAATTTTTTTTGTTCAACCCGTGGGGCTGAAGGAAAAAAATAGAGCAGATTCCTCAATCAATGCTGCAAGTGCATTGATCAAGGAATCCCCACTGTTTCTTCTGTATTCTGACAGCAGCTGCCAGCTGCTGTCAGAATACCCCAACAGAGTCGGCAGCTCATTGTAGGAAGGGTTAGAATTTCAGTCAGGATTTCCTTTCTTCCTATTGTGTCACCATGACAGGAAGTAGGAATTTAAAAACCTAACTTTGTAGTGGGGCTACCCCCACACTGCAAAGGTTCAGTGCTTGTTTTGTCTAGGGACCAGTCTAGCAGCCTAGCAAGACTGAGGATCACGCGAGTATATCTGATTTATTTGAGCCTCCTAGACAAAGGAAGCACTTATCAGGAATGATAAGGAAATGAATGCTTCACTATACCTTACCTGACAGAAGAAAATGATGAGCAGGGATCCTGCCATTTAGTTTAATAAAAGATGTAAAATTCATGTATGCCAAATGAATAAAGCTTTGCCCATGTAGAACAAAGCAACAGGTTAAGTTAAATGTCCCCCCCTCCCTAGTAGGACATCATTTCTTTGCTCCTATGCCTCTCCATTCAGTTGTTGGGAGCCAAGAAATGTCTTTGCACTTGCTGTGTATGGAGGAGCATGCAACCATCTCCCCTTCTTCTTATGTGACAGCGCTGGCAATGTGATTGGCCCAGCACATTGAAAAGAAAATTCGGTCCTCAGCTCTGTGTAATCTCTGTCTAGAGTTAGGCTGGCTACCAACAACCCTTGCAACGCAGTGGCTAGCTGCTCATTAGGTAAGGGAGCAGGGATATGGAGTAATACTTACCTTACTTCTTGCTCTGGCAGGATCCCTCCATCAGTGAAATCACTTCTGGGAAGCCTCATCTCTCAGGTGCTCCCAGACACAGTCACACTCTGGCCTCCTTCATTGCAGGGTTAATAGTCCTACATTGCACCTGATGGCAGAGCTTGCCTGATTAAGTAAGGTAAGTAATATCTCCTCTTTTTATACCCCTAAGACCTAACCAGAATTTAACCCTTGTGGGGGGAGGGGACACCACAAAAGCCTTTTTTCTCTCCCGTTCATTGAAGGGCACAGGGAACAGATCGGAGATCATGTACTGTAGGGTAATATCGCCACCTGCAGGACATCCTATTTTTGTCTTGTGCCATTAATTGTGCTGTAATACAACCCATAGGTCAGCTGTAAACAAATTATTAGAGATATTTAATAGACATGTGCGATTCGTCCCGAATCGAAATTTGGACGAAATTTTGGAAATTCGGAGGTTCGGATGTATCCGAATTACAGCTAAAACGAATCCGAATTCCCGATTTCCGAAATGTAGTCCGGTGGAATTTTCTTTTTTGGACGAATTTTCGGTTTTTAGCGGTAGTCCAGTCGAAATTTTGTTTTTGGACGAAATTTCGTTGCAGCAAAATGACATTAGGAAAAAAACAATAATCACATATTTTTTTTTTTTAAGTTTGCAGAAGATGAAGAAAAAAAAAAAGCGTGAGGTTCCCCCCCCCCAATTCATACCAGACCCTCCCAATGCCGAGGCTCGATGCCCCCCCCCTTTCCTGCCCCGCAGGGCCAGTGCTCGGATCAAGGGTCTGGTAGGACTGTTTTTTCCCCCCATTTTTTGGGGGGTGGGGTTCCCCCTTAAAATTCCTTCCAGGCCCAAAGGGGCTGGTAGCAATTTTGGGGGGAACCCCACACACTTTTTTTGTGTTTTTAACTTGAGGGGGTCCCTCCTAACATCATTCCTACCAGACCTAAAGGGTCTGGTATGAATTGGGGGGGGGAACCTCACGCTTTTTTTTTTTTTTTCATCTTCTGCAAACTAAAAAAAAAATTAAAATAGTCCATAAACTAAATTTTGACCTGACGACCGGACTACCGCTAAAAAACGAAATTTCGTCCAAAAAAACGAAATTTCGACCGGACTACCGCTAACGAATTTCGGCCGAATTCCAAAACTAATTTAATTTCGGATCCGAAAAACAAAATAATGCAAAATCCGAATCAAAACTAAACTAAACAAATGTTTTGCTGGTGCACATGTCTAATATTTAAGCATATTAATACTGACAAGCATTTTTTATGATCTCTTAATATACAGTGCCTCCCAGTGTCCATTCTACGCAGTTGTAATTTCACATAAGGGAAGTTGTTTCTTTTCCCTCAACAGAATAATAGTACATGAATCACTAGATGGCATATTTACCTAACAGTTATGTGCCCGATGTTCAACTGTGTTTAGGTTTCATATTTTATTTTGTTCTTATTTGATATATTTGCCTATTAGATTGGAATGCGATTGGAGGAGATAATGTCCGTTTGCAATTCCATACTTTCTTTTCAAATCATTGTCAAATACTATGTGCTCATAGTTTACCCTAATCTGTAAAAGTGTGCTCATACCCTAATCTGTAAAATTGTGTGCTTGGCTTTTCAGTGTCCCTCGAATCCCTTGGGCTTTTGCAATGACGGAAATGTGTGGATTGGTCCTTTGTTACATCTGGCTGCTCGTACTGCTTCTTCATAAACACAGGTAGTATTTGAAAATAATGACTATCATCCTGTTCTAAGGCCTATTAGACCTAAAAACTGACATCGATATGACCATATGATTAATAACATTGACTCAATATTTGTAAAGTAATTCATGTTCTGTAGAAAATACAATGTATGTAGCATGTCAAAAAGTGCTCAACCTCGAATGCAGATTGTAAGGTGAGCAGAAGCTGAGGTATGCCGTGATCAAAGCACAAGTGCTGGAGACTTCCTCTTCATCTAGGAGCATGCACTCTTCAGCTCTGTAGATTGTAATTGATGTCCTTCAACCAAAACGTTGACAAAAAGGTGGAAATCAATTACAGCCTACGTCCTGTGTTGGAAGGTGAATATTTTTGACCTAAAGATGGTCAGGAGGGAGCATGTCTATTCTTTATTGGTAATCCAACATTTACCCTTTTAAATTATATGCCTCCCCACATATACACCTTAACTTATATTTATAACCAATCAAATACATTTTACATATTGCAGCCTACCATTCCTTGGATCTTGGCTTTCATTCAAGCTAAGAACATTTTCAGCAAGTACAAAAAATACATGATCTTCCCAGAAATGCATTGTACTTGTCTCTTTCTGTGAGATAAACTGGAAGCAAAACAATCTCCTCATTCTTGTGTAAACTACTATTCTTGTTCTTCTAATGTAATGGAAAAAAACGGACATGTTTGAAGTGCAGGACAAGTGGCAACTATAGCTGCTTCATAGGTTCAGTGGAGGTGTAAGTGTAGCTAGTTTGTGTCCTCCCATTACCCTTAGGAGAACTATGGGTAAAAGGAATACAGCAATTAATGCAGAGTTAATCGAGGATATTGTAATTGGGGAGTCATTGGGTAATAGTGATCACAATGTGATTACTTTTAATATTGAACACAGAAAAGGGAAGTGTACTGGAAGGACTAGAACCCTAAACTTCAGAAGGGCCAACTTTGAGAAGCTGCGCAACCTAGTGGGGGAAATAAAATGGGAAAACTTATTTCAAAACCTAAACACAGACCAGATGTGGGATTGTTTTAAAAACACAGTACATACTGCTACTTCAAAGTGTATACCTTTAGGGAGCAAAAATAAAAGATCAAAGACTAAACCAATATGGTTTAATAAAACTGTAAAACAACACGTCAAGGACAAGAGAGCGACATTTATAAAATATAAGACGGAAGGGACGGCATTGGCGTTCCTTAACTACAAAATGCTGGGATTTGTAGTCCTCTATAGATGGTGTTATTCTGCATTGCGTTGTATAATGATTATACGGCGCAATGCAGAATACCACTGACCAGTTAGTTATAGAGGAACAACAAATCCCAGCATAATACATTATACAGGCTGTTTAATGTATTATTGCTGGGATTTGTTGTTCCTCTATAGCTGCTGGTGTTCTGCAGTCTGCCGCTTTTTTTTTTTTAAACCGGAAACATTAAAAAGGAAACATTAAAAAGGTTTATATTCTCGTTGCTTAGTGACTTACTTTGAATCGTGGGCCCTTGACTGTCCGCGGGCAGCATCGAGTCAGGAAGCTCACAGGGAGGAGAGGAGCAGAGGCATGTCCTCAGCGTGCGCGGCTTAACCGGCGTGGGCGCAGCGGCGTGGAGTGGCGAACAGGCAATTTAATTGATAGCCGAATAATCGACGATGGAAACCGTTGACAACATTTTCCATCGTCGATTTTTTAATCGACTAAATCGAATAGTTGTTGCAGCTCTACTGTGCAGCTTCCTCTGCTCTGCTGTTAAGCATAGAGAGGAAGAGAACAGCTTAATAATTACAGTATTTTCATAATGACGCACTATTCCTTCTGATGACTAGTGACCACTGTTACATGTTTATCCTTATATGAAACTGTCATGAGAGAAATATGTCAGCTGTCAATGCCTTATCTTCAGTCACTGACCCATAACAACACTGACTTTTCTCTGACTTTCATTTGCTGCATGCTTGTTTCTGGTCTGTGGTACAGAAATCAGACAGCCATACAAGCATTTTTTGGGGAAGAGTTAGAACGTCTGCCTGGTTTTTACTGCTGTTTGTTTCTGTTGGGGAGAGTTTGCTAGAGTTGTTAGACTTCACTTCATTTGTTCCTTTCTTTTTCTCCAGGTCAATTCTGTTACGCCGCCTCTGTAGCTTAATGGGCACTGTGTTTCTCTTGCGATGCGTCACCATGTTCGTCACATCATTGTCTGTCCCCGGGGAACACCTGCAGTGCTCTGGAAAGGTATTCGTGTAATAAGAATTTGCTTGTTACGAAGAGTGAAACTGTACTTTTTATAAAAATTGACTATATACTGGTGTGTGTGTGTGTGTGTGTATGTGTGTGTGTGTATATATATTTGCTGCTTGCCTTAAGGTACAACCTCATTAGGGATGAAATAGGCTACATGCACACAGGCGACTGGGGACTCTTGCGGCAGGAATCCTAGGTGAGTTCGTAAAGATGTGGCCACTGTGCCCATTCAAGTTAATGACAGGCTGACAGCAGCCGCATCTGTTCTTAACTGTCTGCAGTTAATCGTACATGGTATGATTACCTGTGGATCGGGAGAGATGCTTGTCTATGTACACAATCTCTCTGCATCCAGGGACAATCATCTCTCCAGATCCACAGGTAATCATTCCACCTGCAAATACATTTGGACAGATGCGACCACTGTCAGTCTGTCATTTACTTAAACGGGAAGAAATCCCCAGTTGCAGCTTTGAACACTGTGAGAATGAAACCTTACTGTTGAGTCATTGTGTGCACAGGCGGCTTTCATGAAAGAAGAGAAATGAGAGATGCTAAACTTCAAAGCCTGAGGCTGGATTCACACTCTTCTGTGCGTTTGCAAGCATTTTTACATGCATTATCAACAATCATGGTTTTTCATGTGCTGATGTTGTTATTAGTAGGTCCTAAAACATGCACTGACGCATCAAAATCTAGACAACACACGCCAACACAATGCACAGATGTGAACTAGCACCATTTGAAACAATGCCTAACCCAGGGCTAAACAAATCATGGTCACTATGGCTACCATAAAATGCTCCTAGGCTTTTAGGTATTTGTGCATTTTAAATGTAGTGTCATTGACTGCAGTTTTACTGACCACCACTAGACCTAGGTGAAATGGGACTTCCTCAAACTAGTAGAAAGAGGAATTCTTCAGTCCCTGAACACTCCTAAAACGATAAATCAGTATTGCAGACTAGCACAGACCAAACTCCTGTGTAGACATATCAAACCATGCAAAAAAAAAGAAGAAAAATAGAGTTGGGTCACTAAAATGTATTGTTTATTTGTGCACAGTTGTTTAAAATACCATGGTAAGTAAAAACCTCAACCTTTTTGTGTCCCATATCCTAGAAGATTCATATATATACGTTTGTATTTTCAGTGCCTGCTTGGTGGCAACTCTATAGGTTTTAACTTACTCTCTGTGTGGGATTGTCAGGAAAAATGGCAAGTAGGATGTCTCTGGGTCTTTACACATTTAAACTTTACTTTTGTGTTTGTGAATTTATGTAAATATGTCAGTCAAATATTTGCAGCTGGCTGTAGTTTGCGGCTCCTAAATTTATCAGCTGGCTACTAGATTTGTCCAGGCCTAGGATTACCTGTGTATGTCTGTTCACTTGTGTTAAAATGCAAAATGTAAATTCTGGCTGCAAGCAGAAAGTGAAATGTTAATATTCTGTATTTCATATATATGATATTTACCTGACAAATATAGTTACAAAACCCACTATATAACCTTTGAAACTTTTTTAGGCTTGCTATATACAGGACAGATTTTTTTTTAGCTGCTCTAATGTACATTGAATGCAATGAACAAGTGGAGACAACGCTAAAATTTGTAACACCACTAAGAATAATGTAGAACAGCCGCTATACACAAATCAAACTATGTTCCGAAAATTGTTCACAGTTCTAATTGTATGTGCTAAATCATGCAGCAGATTTAACACAACTCTCTCAAATTGTAGTGTGTTCCCAATTGCCTTATGGTTCAACGGGTACCTATTGTTTGAGTTTATCGGCCATCTTATACTGTAGTAGGACAAACATTATGTAACTGTGTCCTTCAGTGGTATTACTTCACTGAAAGTCATTTGTATATTTCAGGATGTCTGTCTCCACATTCATTTACTTTACATCATGAAATTATTTTTAACGGGTTGAAGTATACCTTCCTGGAAAATGTGATATTGTAAGGCAGAATCAAACATTTCACCGGCACACACTCACAGGGAATCGAACATCAAAATCCCATTGATATATTTAATAAAGTACAAAATGTCACATAGCGTCATAAGGTGCTGTTTTGGGTCCACACAGGGATCCGTCAGCACCTTATGACGCTATGTGACATGTTGCACTTTATTAAATATATCAATAGGATTTTGATGTTCGATTCCCTGAGTGTGTGTGCCGGTGAAATGTTTGAATTTACCATTGATGTTTGCACGGCGCCATCAGTGCGGTCACCCTGAGCACCACAGATGCCTTTTGAACTTTAAGACCGTAGGAGTGCGGATGGTACTCGGATTTTGTTATATTGTAAGGCAGGGCAACATCATTCTAGAAGGCCTGCATAGTCTCTTGATTCTTACACCTGTTCTGTGTTTTTGTCAGCAGATCAGCACTTCTCAATTTTTTTTAAATTATTATGTACCCATTTATAACAACAGACCAAGTACCTTTGATGTGTATCAGTTTATTTCAGGCACCTTAACTTTCTCATACCCTCCAAATGCGTAACAGCGCTTTTCAAGCCAACCCATCCTTTTAAAACAAACAATGGACCAAATGTATTATGTATGAGATTTAGTACTGTTATCCAGAGTGCGAGATGTCTGATACCCATGATACCTACCTTCCTCTTGGTGGGATATTGCAGGGATCAGGATTTCTGTGCAGACGACTATATTTACTCTGGTGTCAACTACCAATGAATGACACCCCAGGGAGCATGGTGAAACAGTTAAAGGGTTTGTAAGTGTTCTGCGGAACATATTGAGGAAGATGGGAATGTCCTTACAGGGTGCTGACAGTGTACAGTATATGGATGGAACAGGTTTTTTAATAATACAGGTGGCTGAGCGAGCTGAACGAAAACAATTAGAGCAGATATCTCCAACGCTACGAGCACTTTGATAGAAGATTCCACGCTGTTTTCTTTGTATTCTGAAAGCGGACGCCGGCTGCTGTCAGGATACCCGAACAGAGCCGGTAGCTCATTGGCTTAAAGACTTTACGACCGGCTCATTTGATCAGCTGATTGAGGAATGCGAGCCCAAATGGTGCTGACAGCGGCAACCACTGTACAAATTTCGGCCTGTTCTTGAAGAATTCGTATGGCCACCTTTAAAGTGGTTGGAGGTTTCTTTTCCCCCTTCAATTACATAGAATGAAATAGGGTTTTCTGGAACATGCAAAAGTGGGTGGGAAGACCAAAAACTCAAAGGTGGAAAAAACTGGGTTAGCAATCACGGTATGGCAGGTAGATCTTGCTGTTGGAGTGTCCAGGACATATAAGAAAGTTGGAAGTGGACTTATCTCATCAGGCTCCACTAATGGTAAAAATATCAGGTATGGGTGGACTATGTTTCATTTTCAGCCACTAGACATATTGGAAATGTGCGGTGTTTGCCAATATTTGGTTCTACCATATCATACCATTAACAAGGCAAGGCTTAAAAATATATTTCACACACATTTTTTGTCTTATTTCAGCTCTATGATAATATGTGGGCAAAACTTCAGCGTGCCTTCGCAATTTGGAGTGGCTTCGGCATGACACTAACTGGAGTACACACTTGTGGAGACTACATGTTCAGTGGACATACAGTGGTCCTCACTATGCTGAACTTCTTTGTAACAGAATGTAAGTTTACCTGTATGGATAGCTGTCTTTTGTGCTGGCGTGAACATGTGCACCTGTTGTTTAACGCATTCTTGTTTATTTCCGTTAGGGATGAGTGGGTTTTGAAAACTCTAATCAATTTCCCCGAGTGATAACCACCGAGCATTCTATCTTGCATTGCACCTTAGTTTTGGTAATAGATGTAGTTCTGCAGAGGACAGGGTTTAGAAAGGTAGAAACTGCATTCCGCTATCTGTAAAAAAATCCTTTTTAAGTTACTATTATGTATCAGGGTTGCTATTTTCATAGTTTTGTCTGCACATGGCCTGTATTCCCTGTTTAAATAGTGTCCTGGAGCTGTGATATATTACACTTCGACTGAGGTCCTGGTTTAATGTTACCCACGTAGCCCAGGATTTACTCTCTCTGCTGCCCCAAGGTCAGATTCCTCAATGCGCCTCCCTCCCTGACATCCCCCTCCCCAATGGAGAATGGCAGCGTTATTTTTAATTTTTTCTTTATTTTTACTTTTTTAACACTTCTTTTTAATTTTGTTAACTTTTTAAAAAAATGTTCTTATTATCTTTTACTTTTTATTTTTTTATTTTATTATTTCTTATTATTCTTTACTTTTTTTTTAAATCGTTATTTATTTTTTAATTTTTATCAATTTTTTTTTTTTAACTTAACTTTATTGCTATCACACAGGAGCTAACAAGCCCCTGTGTGATAGCATTCGGAGGTGACAGGTTCTCTTATTGAACCTGTCACTTCCACTACCGGAGTTATAGCACAGCACTGTGACAGCTGAGATGGGAAGTCTGCGAGTACATCTCTCCCGTCTCCGTGTTTACACTGCTCCTCGCTCTCCATCCTGAAGAGAGGATCTCCAGAGAGAGGTAGTCGGTGTGTTGGGACAGACCTGCAGGCTGCATACAAGTGATCTCGGCGACATCGCCGAGATCACTTGTAAACGAATGAGCGGCTTCCCCGCTGTACATTTAGCCTTGCTTGCCCAAAGCTACCTGCCCGACGCCCAGGAACTACACCTCTGCTCCCTGCCATCCCGAGGCCGGGCCTCGGTTGGCCATGTGGAAAATCCGGCCCTGCTTCCAGAGAGGTCAGGAACTTCTCCCTGGAGGTGTGCCATTTGGAATCACAGGAGAATGCTGCAGGGTGTGTGGTACCACATTATGAGGTGCTGCCCTCTGCAGTATTAAGGACCCACCCACCACTAAAAAGGAAGAAGACCTATGACATCATGGAACCATACAGAAAACCATTGGAAAAAGGTATGTATACATTTTTGTTTTCTTTTGCTCAAAGGGGGATAGGAGAAGCTGGGTTTTATAAAAAAAATACTTTCCTCTTCTTCCACTTCCATCTTTGGCGATTTAATGTGCTTAGCCATTCTAACTGGCTGGCCCAATATGATATAGCCATAACATTTGCGCATGTGCACCTCGGTTAATTCATCTTGGTACTGAAGAATAAACACTAAGAAGAAGAAGAAGGGAATGACAAAGAACACTGAGCTGCAGGTGCAGTTACATTATTGGCAGGCAGGAAAGATGTTTTTATTGCAGTGACTGAGACATGCAGACATATGGCAGAGGCATACCGAGTCTCTTCTGCAATAAGAGTTTACCTGCCAGCAATGTTTCCTATAAAGACTATAGTTCCATTTTAAGGGATGTAGAGCTATACTATGTCTAATTTTAAAGGGGATTGATGTATAGTAAAGTATGTGGGTTTATGTAACTGTTCTATGCAGTGCACTGTTTAGTCTTATTGCCATTTGTTTTTCTATTATTTGCTTTTCTTTATGTGTGGAGCTTACTCCTCTCACCAGCAGACTTCCTCCATGCCATGTGACTAATCTCTTGAAGCCTCTTCTGTAAGGCGCTTTGGCTAGTGATCGCAATCTGACATCATCACGTACAATGCAGGACCAATAGTCCTGTATTGTACGTGATGATGGCAAGGACCATCCACAACCCAGAGCATCCGAAAGGTCACGCCAAAGCCAGCCGGAGCATGGAATAAGGTAAGTATTATAGCATATTCCTCTAGCCCTAGAGTTATTGAGCTGTTAAGCTTTTTTTTTTTTTTTTTTAAATCCTGGAGTTCAGCATTAATTCCATTAGTTGGATCACCTACTAACATGTTTATCTGTTGTAGAGAACAACACACTTGGATTTCTAGAACTGCGTAACTTCTGCATCTTTTGTAAAGGCAGTATACTCTTTCTGAGCTACCTTAATGTCATGTCCTTGATGCAGAATGCATCAGCAGAAGATAGACTGTAGGGATGGCCAGCTGATTATTGTGTCCACTGACAAGTAACAGGGGAGGAGGATAGTGGGTGGAAAAATAACTTGAGACTGGTATTTGCATATATGTTTATAATGCTTGTCCTGTATTTCAGACACACCTCGAAGCTGGAACTTCTTACACACTCTGTCCTGGGTCTTGAATCTTTTTGGCATCTTCTTCATCTTGGCTGCGCACGAGCATTACTCCATTGATGTGTTCATTGCATTTTACATAACTACAAGACTGTTCCTTTATTACCACACTTTAGCCAACACGCGTGCTTACCAACAGAGCAGGCGGGCACGCATTTGGTTTCCCATGTTCTCATTCTTTGAATGCAACGTTAAAGGACCTGTTCCTAATGAATACTGCTGGCCTTTCTCTAGGCCCATCTTTCTGAAGAACATATTAGGCTAAAAATATTTGGCCTTAACAAAATGTGGCCGTTTAAATGTTTACAACTAAAACAATGATGTGATATGTTATTTATAGCATTTCCACCTCCTATATCGTTTGGCTTACAATGTGGGCAGGTACTTTGACGCATGATGCATCTGTGTTGGCTGCAAAGCGTTCCCCTAAAAAGAACCACTGCGATTAATGAAGTATAGGGAAATGCAAATGTTAATATACTTTATAATGATGGTCTTGCACCAACACTTACAATGATTAGTACAAAAGTCTTAACCATTTTGCTTTAGAATAATCTATTTATACCTGAGGAAGTAAAACTCACCATTTTACTTTAGACACCTGTTGAATGGTTAATAATAGAAATTGCTTTAAACCTTAAAAGGCTTAAAGTGTATGTAAACCCTTTCACATAACTATAGACGTATAGCTTAGGAAAACAAAAGAATCCAGCCATAACTCGCAGGAATAAAAGTAGAAGAAATACCTTTTTTAGGGTATTGACCCTAGACATGTGGTCGATTTTTCTTCTGCACACTGCATGGCCCTGGTCCGTAAGTGGGTCACATGTCCTGGTGACATTTTTTCTGACCCCCCCCCCCTGGCTGAGCAGAGGTGGAAAAACTTGATCACGTGACCTGTTCTGCCCTATTATGACAGAAAGGCTTGCTGGAGAAGTCACTGTCAAGCACCTAGCTGGAATGGGTATATGGGAGAAGAGGAGAACAGAGCACGGCTTTTCTTTCGAAAAAAACTGGAGCATGTGTGCACATGTGTGGCATCGCTGCAGAGGCTACATCAGCGTTTAGAGTGTAGAATTAAAGGAGAACTATGAGGTGAGTGCTTTTCACTCACCTCATAGTTCTAGCCGACCTGTGACATTGAGACTGTCACAGGTCAGCTTAGTAGATCGGGAGGTGAGCGAACACATCCTGGCGTTCGCTCACCTCTCAATCCTGTCACGGCTCTCTGCCATGACGGGAGGGGCTGGATTCCCCCCTCCCCGCTCCGATCCGCCAGCGCTGACTGCCTCTAGATAGGCAGAGCCAGCTGTCAGTCACGCAGCTGGGCGGAGCCAGACATAATTGTCGGGATCCGCTTCAGCTGCGGCGTCTCAGTATACCGCGAGCAGCAGCTCGCGGTATACTGCAGCGTCTCAGTATACCGCGAGCTACAGCTCGCGGTATACTGAGCCTAGGGTGACGGGAGGACGCTAGTTTGTGTCCACCCGTTACCCTAAGGAGAACTATGGGGAAAAGCCTTAACCCCATAGTTCTCCTTTAAGGAAGTATGAACTAGCAGGATCACTAGGTATTTACCGCAATTATTTTACAACTACCAAACACACACAAACAGACAATTTTGTTCGGGAGCCTTTAATAAAGCAATCATTTTGGGGTTTACTGACACTTTAGGTTGCATTATAACAGATACTGCACATCCACAGATTTTTGGTAAATATGTCTTTAGTCTTTTAAAGAGGAGATAGTAAATACTTTGGCTGCACAAACCATTGCTTTGGAAGCTCTCTAAGGTCTTTCCTTTGATCAGATGATCACATACTTTGGTGAACATGATCTCTGCTGAATGATGAAACAAATTGAGGTAAAGATGATGAAAGGTGCTGATTGGCGTAGCTTCCCTTTATCACCAATACCTTGATATTTGCTTACATGAGCAGTTACTGTGAGATCCCAGATCTTGCATGTAAGTATTTCAGAGCTTGCATGATGTTTTACTAACTTAAAGAAGAAGCTAAACCCCAAAACAAAAATGTTGCAGCTCATGATTTCTTTGATGTGATGGCTGCGTTAGTTTTTGGGCTAAGAACTTTTTCAGCAAGTACAGAAAATACCCGATGATGTTGACAGAATGCAGCCTTGCCACTTCCCGTGAACTTAGCAGAAAGCACAAACATCATCTTTTTCTGTACCTCCCTGATCCTATCAACCTCATGTAATGGAGACAAATGCAGACATATTAGTTCAGCCTGGGTGGCAATCATGGCTCCTTCCCTATACATAGTGGAGCAATGAGAGTAGCCACCAGGGACAAGAAGTGTGTTATTTGCAATATTACCAGATAAAAATAAAGGGAAAAAGAGCCTGAAAATAGAAACCTAATGCAGCCACCACAACTAAGGATTGGTGAGCTGTAATATATAAAATGTTTGTTTCTTGTGTTTAGATACACTTTAAAGTGAGTATGGTGGAGGTTGAGGTGGTAGTTTTGTCTTATTTGAGTTTAGCTTCTCCTGAAAAAGATGTGTTCCAATTTACCACATTACTTGCTATTAACATCTGTATTTAATGATAGCAGTAGAAGTAACTGCTATAAACTCTACTGCTGGTTTTGTTTGCAGAGAGCTTTACATGTTCCAAGAAACTCTCTGCACTATAATAAGCATTTTGTGTGAAATGAATAACATGGCTGCTATATTAACTCCACTTGCACTTATTCAGTATTTATTGAACAGTTTTATGATGCACAGATTTTGGTAAATTATTTTCCATAAAATGTACAACTGTGCAGTTACTCTTGGTGGGTATTTACAAGCTAGGTAAGGTGTTTTCCACCAAATATGTCCAGAATTCATCCCGTTATACATCATAAACTGTATAGCCAGGCCTATTTTTAAATTTGTAAATCATTTTTATTTGTATGTAACATCATATTGCAACAATGGCACTGTAAGTAAAAAGCAGTGAGGAAACTGCTACAGAAACCTAAAACCTTGCTTCCATTTCTTTATTGTATTTACAATATAAAGAACGATCACTATAATCACTTCCTTCTTATGTGACTTGTAATGTGATAGAAAACAGGAATCCCCAGCACTCAATAAGTAGTTTTCAAAGTGTAAACGTACGGACATTTACACTTTTAAAACTACTTATTGAGTGCTGGTGATTCCTGTTTTCTACTGTCGATGTGCACGGCGAGCATCATTATTACCATTTTACAGCCAAGGAATGCTGTAAGGAGTGCAGAGGGACTCTCCATCCTTTTATATAATGTGATAACTTCTCCCCGTACTGGCCTTCCCAACCCAGTATCTTCATAAGCAGCAGCATCATAAATACTGACCTATCGAAAACAAACTGCGCTGGTCATGTGATCACAATTAGTAGTGGGGTCTGGCACCAGTGCACAGGTAGAGCTACTGCCAGAAAAGTTCTCTAAGCCCCTTTCACTGCGAGCACTTGGATGATATTTGCACAATCCAGCAGTTCCTTCTGGAAGGTAGGTATACAAGCTGCTCTTTTTTAAATATTAGTATCCTGGCTTGGATAGGTAAATATGGTAAGCGGGTGTTGTTAGACTAAAGGTTGCTTTCAGTCAATAAAAATGTAACATGATGGGTATACTGTATTCATCGCCATTTAATAATATGTATGATGGTCCTGATTGTTCGGTAAAACCTGTAATTCTGAAATGTGTCCGCCATTAACATAACGTTCTTGTGCAGACTATTGTACACAATCTATTTTTAATTTAGTATAAATGTTTAAAAGTGGGGGCATTGGAGATGTGTAATTTGCAATGCTGAGAATTGTACCAATCAAATATTTACCATTCTAATATGTGCAAAATAATGTGAAGTTCATTTGACCTGTACACTGGATGTCAACTTTCATCTGGTATGTATAACTGGTGTAGTATGATGAAAAAAAAAAACAAGTTGGTTAGACGGTATCCAATGTTCTGTTTCAGCTAGAACCATACCCTTTTTTTATGGGGGGGGGAGGGGGTATTGCAGTCTGTCATTTTGTGGGAAATTTCACTTTATTCACGTTTTTTTTTTCTTCAAAAAGTCCAGGAATAACAGCACTTTTATCTTGTAGGAAAGGGTTAGAGCCTCTTCCTGGTTCTTATTGCTCTCTCTGTCCCTGTTGGACTCCCTTTGCTGCCGACTCCCAGTGGCTCTTTATGTGGATCCTAATACCGGGAGTCTGAGGCAGGCTTCCCGATCATGTGATCACTGTAAATGACTGGGAGCTGTCGGTGATGGGTCGGTCACGGTTTTCAGCAAAGAACAGCCCATCCACTGACACAAATATGTATACAGCCAGCATTAAGCCCATCAGCCAGGGTGATGCGTATATGCAGGAAGGCAATGAGACCTCTATACTTCCTGCGACATGGACCAGATGGCAATATACCATTTGCAGTGGTTCTAACTCTTGGACTCTAGAAAGTTTATTTTAATGATGAACACTATTTAAGTGTTTACAGAGATATTTCCATCAGACATTGAATATGTAATAGTTGTTTTCACATATTATCCATAACCGGTAACCTACATCACAGGATGGATTTCCGTTATTCCAAAGGTGAATTTGGGATGTGTGCATTGTTTACATTTCTGTGGAAAGTATTAAAGGTGAGACTAATTTAATCCAAGTTGCATTTTATCTTTTTTCTTTCTTTTTTTTTTGTTACGCTTAACAACTATCTCCATAGAGTGAACAAGTACACCATGATTTCTTTTTTCTCACTTAATAGACAACTTTTCTTCATAAAATACATACTGGGCCTCTTCACAAGGCGATCTTTCATTTCATCATCAGCAACATCTTCCCTTTGGCCTTTATGAACTAACTGTTTCTAAATACCAAATCGGGTGCTGCCGCCTTGTATTTCACATGGATTTAAATTGCTGCACTTAGATTCCTATTGGACAATACTGGTATATTTTATAGAGCGTAGCATTAATATACCACTGAAAACTTTTAAAGCTTTAAACTTAACTTTTCCTTTAACACTTGAGCCTAATACCACCCCTTCCACCTTGCAATGTTCCCTATTGGTCAGTGAGGCTACCCATCACATTTAATGTCCAGGTGCAGGGCTAAATGCGACCTTGGCAGGTTTACTTTAGGTCACAGCCAACAAGCAATGTTACTGCACAGCTTTCTATTAAAGGAGAACTATGGGGTCAGGGCTTTTCCCCATAGTTCTCCTAAGGGTAACGGGAGGACACAAACTAGCATCCTCCCATCATTCAAAGCTCAGTATATCTCGAGCTACAGCTCACGGTATACTGAGACGCCGCAGCCGGGATGGATCCCAACATCACTGTCGAGATCCACCCAGCTGCGTGATTGACTGCTGGCTCTGCCTATCTAGAGGTAGAGCCAGCTGTACCCGCCCCGTCCGTTCCCCCAGTCAGCGCTGGAGGATCGGACAGGGGAGGGAGGAATCCCTGCAGGGAGCCGTGAGTGACCGTGATCGAGAAGTGAGCAAGTGACGGTATGTGTTCGCTCACTTCCCGATCTATTGAGCCGACCTGTGACAGATTCATTGTCACAGGTCGGCTAGAACTATGAGGCTGAGTGATTTTCACTTGCCTCATAGTTCTCCTTTTTATTGGTGCTTATAT